GGGAAGAAAAAGACACATGCCCCAAATGAAAAACAAGAGAAATCTCCAGAAAAAAAGAACAAAATGAAATGGAGGCAAGCAATTCACCAAATACAGAATTCAAAACAATGGATATAAGAATGTTGAAGGAACTTAGGGGGAAGAATAGATGGATTCACTGGGTGCCTTCAAGAGAGATTTTTTGTGCAGGCCCTTGAAGAAGATGCCTAGGTTTTCAGCAACCTACCATCTCTCCTGGTTGCACCGAATCTCCACTGATTTTCACAGATAGATGTTTTGTGGGCTCTTTTTTTCCAGCACTGGTACTGGGGGGTTGGGGATCCTGGCATAGAGCTGGGGCCTCTTGCTCCTCAATGAGGGACCCAGACTGGTAGAATGGCCTTATGCTTTAGATGTTCAATGGTGCTCAGTGGCACAGTCTCCATGATCACCTGAGCTGGGCGCTCCAGGATTGTTCCTTGTGTGGGTTATGTGAGCCTCTTTATTATAGTTAAGTCTTAATTGCTGTTGGCACATCTGAGGGTGGAATTGACCCTCGGGCTGTCTGACTGTGAGAATTGGCCCTGATCACAGTACACAAGCTGCTGTGTGGAGGCTGACTGCAAGAAGCAGAATTTTCCTCAGCTGGGTCTGATCCCTGTGGAGACGTCCCTTTGGCTTTACCACTTTTGGAGCTAATCAGCTCATGCTCTGTTGTGGTCTGAAGCCAGCCACCAGGTGTGTTGTTTCTGAAGTTTTTTGGAATGGACTCTGGTGCAGGTTAATGTCAGACTGCCTGTGACTGGCCCTGGCTACCTATTAGAAGCTACAAAGCAATCCATGGTTGGTAGCTGCCTATGTTCTATGCTGCATCTGGGTGAATGTAGGAGGGGCCAAGCTGCATTCCAAGGCTGGCTGCCATAAGTGCCAGGCCAGGGACAGGTCAGTAAAAGGCCCAAGGCTACCCCAAACCACCACCACCTAGTGGCTTCCCCTTGGGCTCAGTCACTGAAAGAGCATCGGGTAGTACTTGAGTTGTGTGAGGCAGGGTCTCAGTGAGTCACCAGGGGTGAGTGGTGTTCACCACGTTAATACAGATTGAAACTCAGCACATCCTGGGTCTGAGGCTACTCAGCCAAAGTCTCAGGGTACACCAAGGGCAGTCACCATGTTCTTGGGGCCTGAGGACTTTGCAGTGGGGCAAGGTCTCAGGCAGTCATCAGGGCAGAGCCAGTAGAATTCATCAGGCTTAAGCAGATTAAGATTTGTCTGTGTGTAAAGAGGGCTCTGCACAAGAACGGTGGCTCCTGTTGGGTGCACAGGAAAATGGCCCTCACCCTGAAGCCACACAACTCAGTTTTACCCTGTATGACTCCAGCGCCCTCCAAGCTGCCATTCCTCTGGCAGAGCACAAGGTGAGTGCCTTCAAGTGAGATTTTGTGTGCAGGTCCTTGATGAAGATGCCTAGGTTTTCAGCAACCTACTATCTCACCTGGTTGGACCGAATCCCCACTGATTTTCACAGATAGATGTTTTGTGGGCTCTTTTTTTCCAGCACTGGTACTGGGGGCTGGAGAGCCTGGCACATAGGTGGGGCCTCCTGCTCATGAGGGACCTCTGAAGTTGAGATATCATTCCAGATTCTCAACCCCTATATGTGGGTGCAAAGCCAGCCCATTTCCCATTCCGGCCCTCTTACTGGTCTTGATACGAATTCTTTATATCTTTAGTTAGAAGACTTCTGTTTAGCTAGTCCCCAGATGGTTATCCAGGTTTATTGTTCTATAACTTAGTTGTAATTTTGATGTGGTCATAGGAGGAGGTGAATGCAACTTTTACCTACACTGCCATCTTGGATCTTTCACCCTCATTTCATCTTTGTTCATCAATCAATCGTGTTATGGCACCAACTATAGAAATAAGAGATATAGCACTTTTGAAAATACACACAGATGCTCAAAGAAAATGTAGATTTTTTTCTTTTCATAAATGAGATCATCATCCCCATGAGGCCTTCCCTTTGATAAAACTGGGGTGGAAGAATTTTTTGTTTCCATAAAACAAGTCCTTGGTTTCATTTGGGTAACAAACTTCTAAGTTTGGCCTTGCTGATCCCCTCTTTTCCAGCTCCTCCCAGGATGAGGTTGGGATGTTTGGGGATGTGAACTATGGAAATGGGAAAGTGGGCCTCAGACCATCACCCCACCCTGTACCTTGCAGGTGATGGCTTCTTCCTGCCCTGGCTCTGCAGAGGGTCTTCAAGGGTCCACTGATGCATTCATGGTTCTATCAGGCGTGAGAGTCTCCCTTGCTAACCTGGGGCCTCTAATAGGCGTCAAGGGCCTAGCCCCACCCTCCACCCAGCCTTGATAAGAGTGCATGTTCACTGCTGTGTGTGGGGTTCCCTTAGTCCTCCTGTGACATCCATGTGCAGGCCCACGGGCTCCCCTCAGATTCTATTATAGGCTGCACTGTGTTCCCTACCCCCAAAATTCATATGTGGAAATCATAACCTCCAGCACCTCAAAATGTGCCTATAGTTGGAGACAGGGCTTCTAAGGTGCTATTTAACTTTAAATGAAAACATATGGGTGGGTCCCAATTTAATATGACAGGTATCCTTACAAGAAAAGGAGATTCAGACACAGACAGGTACAGAGGGAAGACTATGTGAAGACACAGGGACAACATGATCATCTGGTAGCCAAGGAGAGAGGTCTCAGAAGGAACCAATCCTGCTGATACTTTGACCTTGGATTTCCAGCCTCCATAATTGTGAGAAAATTAATTTCTGCTGTTTAAGCCACCAGTCTATTGTACTTTGCTATGGCAGCTTTAGTAGACTAATACAGATCTAGTCTCCTTTCCTCATGGGCCAGAAAAATGGTGTCTGTGGGCTCATGATTGTACAATAATTATGTTTCTGTCTCTCCAATTAAATTATGAAATCCTCCTGGGTAGAAGCCATGGCTTATTCAGTTCTATATTCCTGGGGCCTAAGAGTTCTATACCTGGCATGGAGGTTTTGAATGACTATATGAATGAAGGAATCATCTTCACTTTGCACAGTCACCCTCCAAATTAGTAAGATGGCCTGGCCAGCGTGGCTCAGTGGTTTAGCATCAACCTATGATCTAGGAGATCGAAGTTCGATTCCTGGTCAGGGCACACGCCCAGTTTGTGGACTTGATCCCCAGTAGGGGAGATGCAGGAGGCAGCCGATCAATGACTCATCATTCTTGTTTCTATCTCTCTCTCTCTCCCTCTCTCACTCTGAAATCAATAAAAATATAAAAAAATTAATAAAATAGAGAGTGCAGAGGTCACATCACTCTGTAAATAGTCCAATTAATTAATCACCAGTACCAGTTCTTACGGCATGCGTAACAGGAAGGATCATGGGAACAATGATGTAAGCCACTTCCAAGTCTCTGAAATAGGGAGGGTCGAGCTTTCAGCAAATGTGGCCAGGGCTGAGGGACTATTGAAACCTGGAGCAGCTAGCTGGCTATAAGCCCAGTGCCTGCCTCTGACACTTTACCTAAAGTCATTTCAAGATAAATCAATTCACCAAAACCATAAGACATTAAGACCTAGAATGTTCTGTCACTGCCATAGTCCACAAAAATAGAGAAAACAGTAAAATCTGTTTAAGGGATAGTTCACCAAAATACCAATGTGCCAATAGAATGAGGGCAGCAGGGTGGGCCATAGAAAGGGACAATGCAGGTAACAGGGCAGATGTCAGGAAAGACGTAAGTCCAGAAGTAAATAGTAAAGTGCGTTTACAGAAAACTCACTTCTTCACATCATAGTGCAGCATCACAGAGGCCAACATGGGGAAGAAATGAAATTTCAGAAAGTATCTTCCAGAATCCAATGACTGAGTCATTCAACAAATTGGCTCTTCTGCAAATTAATCTGTGGCAAATCTGGCTGCTTCCATGACCTCTGCAGCTCAGAGAGTGCTGTTGTAAAAGTATAAATCTTAACAGCAATGGCCAGCACTGTTGCTGGTTCGCCATGTGCTGGGAATTATTCTGGGAGTCTCATCTGTATTAACTTCCATGAAGTAGGTGGTGTTATCATCCCTGCTTCATGGATGAGGATTCTGAGGTTCTTCACCCAGCTTCTAAGTGGCAGATCCAGTTAATGAATTCAGAGAGAGCCTTCCATCTTAGCCACCACACCCTGCTGGCGGTGGCAATCTTTACCCTCCTATCAGGACAGCTGCTGGGACCCTCCCCCTTTACTTGTATGTATACACAGTCATGTAAACACACACACACAGACACACACACACACGTAGCTAGCTAGCTATCATCTTTCTATGTAGAAAAGCATGAATTTACACAATACATTCAGTTCCAGTCTCTGAGGCCATAGGGTTCTTTTGAGTTTTCTCTCTTTCTGAATCATAGACATTCTTCTCTAGGAGAGAGGAGCCTGGCTTTCATTATCCATAATACATTTACTTATTTAATACATTTACTCCTTTATGTAGCCAAACCTTGTGCCATCCCCTTTCTACTCACTTATCTTAATATGAGTGAGTTGTGAAAAAGGCCCCATCCAATCAGTGATTGTGATGATTAAAAACATTTAGTCACTGGCTCCCACTGACTTGGTTCTATAGATTCCCCCCTACAGTGCACGAAAGCATTAGATAATTCTACTGTGAAGAGATGTTTATTGAGACGCTCAATATAATATATGATATAGAATATTCAAAATAAAATGTGATATGTCACTACTGCTGTTACCACAATAATTCTTCTTTTCATTAAAGTTTGTTGATAAAATTGTAGAAAATTTTGTATTCTTGGTTAGTGTTAAGAAACAGTAGATGGAGATAGTATTATAAGAGCCCAGTAAGCTGGGTCTACATATCTGGCACTTATTTAGTCATCTCCCTTATATTGTGTAATATAAGGGAAGTGACTAAATACTCTATGTAGACATTGAGAGAGCTAAATGAATGTACAGAATCCCTAGTCATTCATCAAGTGCAATAAATTAAGTTCATCTTCATTTCTGGGTTTTATTCACAAAGTACATTGAGATCTCTTGTGTCTGGGCATACAGCTCCCTTGAAGAACAAAGTGTAAGTCCTTAGGGAAAGTCAGGCTCCACTTACAGTCCCATCTCTCAACTCTGCCATTAGAACAATGGGTTTTTCTGGTTGAGTAAGTCCTTGAGATGCTAATTTCAGAGGGATCTGCAAATGTTAAACAGCATATGAGAACCAGTTAATGAAGCACTGTCAACAACAGAAGCAAAGTAGATGAGATACGTTGAGCAATAGTGCTGTACAAACATATAAAAATTACTTTTAGCATAATCTATCTTTGCTTTTTTATACTTATTTAGTAAGCTGCCTCAAGACTGGTCAGTGAAAGCATTCATCAATACATTCATTCAAGAAAATATCAATACAACACCTATTCTGTACCAGGCCAGAGACAATATCATGTTGGTTTATGTTTGGTTTAAACTTTAAGTAAAAAGGATGAGTTTTTAAAATTTAAACCAGATTCTTAGGCATTATGAAAAACTTTTTGGAAAAGCTACACAGAGTTAATTTTGTGCATGTTGAAACTTGCAAAGTAACCCTGAGTACATATTACATGTTTTAATTGTGTGACCATCCTTGACTTCTAGAGTCCAGCCACCTCTCCCTGTGGAAACCTTCCAGTTTCATGATGGGAAAAGGTTGTTGTGAAGCTTTGTGCCTGTTTTCTGACATCTCCTGGCTCCCAAGTGTAGTGTAAATAGTAAACTTCTGAAGACATATATAGTGTTTTGACTAATTTTTTAGCTCTATTCTCTCCCAATCACTTCTTCAGTGTTGGGGGAGCTACCAACACAGTCACCTTCTGATCACAGCTGACTGAAGGGCAAGAAAATTATCATGGAGGGTGAGAAGCACCAGCCACAGATGACTGGGAGCTCTCAGAGAGTGTCTTACCCACCCCAGGTGTGCCAGAGACCCACTCCCTCTCAGGGCTGAGTCCCCCATTTGTACACACTTACAGGACTGCTACACAGCTGCCCAAAACCACAAATAAGGTGGAAGCCATCTCCATCACCCTCCTCTTCTCTGAGAAAGCCTACTTAAGGAAAGGAGCTGCATAATAAATGCGTGAGTCCTAGAAATAAGCCTTATTATAGGGCCTTGCTTGACATGAATCAATGGAAACTCTTAGGCATGTTTGTGTGTTAGTGTGTGTGTATGTGTGTGTGTGTGTGTATTATATATATCACTTTTTAAAAAATTTCCCAGCAAAGCATTATCTAGACAATGGTAACATGGTAAGGGTCAGACCTGTGTTTCTTTGCAAGGTTTGAAGGAGAAGTTCTGCAGAACTCTGACGATAGCAACTTTCATGTTCATGATAGCAAACCTCATGCCAATGCAGTTTCGGGGTCCACTTCCAAAGGGCATGTATGTGTAGGGGTTTATATTGTCCTTGTTCTCCTTACTGAACCTGGTTACACAACAGTAGATGAAAACAATGAGTAAAACATAAGCACCACAAGAGCTACATGTTGGGAATTCTTATTTAGGCACCTCAACCAGTAGTATACAGGATGCTCCTGTGGGCTAGTCAGTGAGATCCTACTATGGTTATTTTGCTGTGAGAATTGTAAGCTACAGATCCTTTCCATTCCCCTTACCCTATGGGAGCTTTCAGTTTCATTGAAGAGATGACATGAATGCTGTTTAAAGGAAAATTTATCTGTAAACACTAAATTACATTCAGGGTATTGAGATGTTCGCATTCTGAAAGGCAAGAAGTAAATGAGACTGATTGAAGGAAAAGTAGGTTCCTGCCTCCATCAAACTCATACTCGTCTCATGGAGGAAGGAAGCAGGAATAATTATTTCCTATTAGTTAAGTTGCTATTTTTTTCTTTCCCTTCCCTTCCCTCTTTTCCTCCCCCCTCCTCTGACCTTTCCCCTTCTGCCCCTCTCTCCCCCATTGAATAGCTTAAATCGGATGACTTACATGGGCATATCATGCTGCTCTGCTCTAGTATGATCATGGCTTCCTTGTCTATTTGTTTTTACTAGGCTATAAATTCCTTGAGAGTTGGACCTATGCTTTATTCAAATTTGATTCCTCAATATTTGATAATATTAAGGAAAAATGTGTATTTGGGAAAAGTGATCATGGCATTGTGGTTATGTATTTTTTAAGAGTTTTTATGTTTTGGAGAACATTCAGAATATTTACAGATGGTGTGCCTTAATATGGAAATCAGGAGGAGGGTGTCAGTGGCATGTGGATGGGGCGGTGGACATGGGTTGACGGCTGTAAGGCAGGTGATGAGCACACATATACTCATTAAAAGTATTTCATAACCCCTGCCAGTTTGTCTCAGTGGTTAGAGTCAGCCCTTGGACTGAAGGATCTCAGGTTCGATTCTGGTCAAGGGCATGTACCTCAGTTGTAGGCTTGATCCCAGGCCCCAGTCTGGGCACCTATGGGAGGCAACCAATCGATGTCTCTCTCTCTCTCTTCCCCTTCCACCCTTTCTGAAAAACCATGGAAAAGAATATCCTCGAGTGAGGTATAAAAAAAAAAGTATTTTATAGATGTGAAGCAAAGAGAAGTACAAGATGGCCAACAGATATGTGAAAAAATGCTCACCACCAACCACTAACTCTAAGGGAAATGCAAATCAAAACTACAATGAGATACCACCTCACTCCCATTAGAAGGTTGCTATCAACAGGACAAGAAATAAATATTGGCGAGGATGTGGAGAAGGAAAACCCTAGAGACTGCTGGTACCAATAGGAATTGGTGCAGCCACCATGGGAAACAGTATGGAGGCTCCCCAAAAGAAAAGAGCTACTGTCTGACCCCGCAATCTCTCTTCTGGAGACGTACCTGAAAAATTTGAACACACTTATTCATAAACATACATGTACCCCTATGTTCACCACCATATTATTTATAATAGTCAAGACATGAAAACAGAACAAGTGTCCTGCAACAGATAATTGCATAAAGAAGATATGCAGCATATATACAACAGAATAGTACTCCACCACAAAAAAGTGAAGTGTTGACAATTGTAACAAAATAGGTGGATCCTGAGGGTGCTACACTGAATGAAATACACCAAATGCACAGGACAAGAACCACATGATCTCAGCCATACATGGGATACAAGACAAAAAGCAACAAATAAACAAACAAACAAATAAAAATAAAATCACAGATACAGACAACAGAATGGTTGTTACCAGAGGGGAAAAAGGGTGTGGGGAGGATGAGGAAGGTGCAGGGGGTCAAATGCCAGGTGATGGGAGAAGACTAGACGTTGATGGTGAGCACATAAGAGTGTACAGATGTTGTATTATATATAACGCTGTACAACTGAAGTCTATATGATATTATTAATCAATGTTACCCCAGTTAACTTTTTTAAAGTGAAAGGTCTCTGATTTCATGTTCATGAAGCTATGGGGGGGGAACTTCTAAGTTTGGGGGAACCACAGAAAACAGAGGACTTGGTCAACTAACTTTCTTTTTTTTCTTTTTAATTTTTTTTTTTTTTAATATATCTTCATTGATTTCAGAGAGAGAAAAGGAGAGGGAGAGAGAGAGAGAGAAACATCAACGACGAGAGAGTCATTGATTGAGCCCGCAACCCGGGCATGTGCCCTGACCGGGAATCGAACCCTGATCGCCTGGATCCCAGGTCGACGCTCAACCTGTGAGCCACGCCCGGCCGGGCCAACTAACTTTCTTTCAACAAGTACTATGTGTATAAGCTATGCTAGAGCTAAAGACACCATGGCAAATGAGACAAGATGCACACCACTAGGGATCTTATAGTTGTGCTAATAAAAGTCTAGATCTGAGGGAGTGTCCTCAATAGTTCTTTCCAATTTTGCTCACCAATACAATAAATGGGAAGCATCAGCTCTTTCCAGAGTTCAAGCTGTGCCCAAAGCCAGGCCTTGGCTCTGAATTTACAGAAGAACATGCTAAAGACCCCTAAGGAGGAGTGTCTTAGAAGGTCTAGGAAGCAGATGGTCTCCCTTTGGAGAGTCACCAAATACTGAGCGTAGGAGGAAGCTGACACAGGACTGCAGCCCAAGACAGACTGGGGGACCTGTATTCACCTCTGTCCTCAAGGGGCTGCTTAAACCAGCAGGGTGAGGACCTCTCAGGTTGTCAGCCTGCACTCTCCTAATAATGATAGAGGAACAGCAGCCAATGTTTGTAAAAAATGGAACGTGGGAACACTGGCGGTAAATTCAGAGAGTTAAAGAGAATAGCACAGAAAAACTTAAAGAAAAACAGCCATATTCCTAAAATCAGATAGGGATTAAGTAAATTATAGCATATGCATACAATCACAGATATATAGATATATAGATATATATAGAGAATGGTGTTTTATACATAGGATGTAGTTTATAGTTTACTGTTAAATAAAATAAGTAATGTAAAACATACTATCATTCTAATTTTTTAAAATCTACATATGCATAGAAAATGCCAATAATGACATACATCACATTATTAATGACACCTATATTAAGGTATTGGGACTATAGACAAATACAACTTATTTTTTAATCTTCACCTGAGGATATTTTTTCCATTGCTTTTCAAAGAGAGTGAAAAGGAGAGAAAGAAAGAGAAACATCAATGTAAGAGAGACACATTGATTGGTCACCTCCTGCACAGACCTGGGATCCAGCTTGCAACTGAGGTATGTGCCCTTGGCCGGAATCGAACCCGGGACCCTTCAATTCGCGGGTCAATGCTCTAAGCACTGAGCCAACTAGGACTCTTTTTTTCTAGTCTAGAGATTGTAAAATAAAATCACTCGTGTAGGAAAAACAAACTTATAACAATAAAAAGGTATACAAATAAATGCACATGTTCATCATCTATACCAACAGACATCAGAATATGCTCCAACCAGCCTGGATCAGTGTGGGTTCCCCTTCCCGGGCCCAGTACCTTTCAGGACGGAACTCCTCAGGCTCTGACCAGTACTTTGGGTCTCGTTGAAGAATAAAGTTTGGCACCATCACCACTGTCCCTTTGGGAATGAACACCCCATTGATTTCCACATCCTTCTTACAGGCCCTCTCAAGTCTACCAGCAATTGGGAATAATCTGAGAGTCTCATTCAACACCATGTCGAGATACTCCATCTGTATCAGGGCATCGTAGGTGGGAGGTGCCTGGGAAGAAAGAAACAGATTTTGATAAATTGAGATTTGAGATCAGCTTTCACCTCAGTCTATGTAGTTCTGTAGAAATGTTAGCAGCTCCAAAGAATAACTTCTTTTGGTGAAAGACCTTAGGATTTATAGACATTTTAATATCTATCCTGTCCTTTGGCTTGCTTAATGGCCATGGAGATGGGAGTAGTTATGACTATGGGGAGACCTTGGGGACAATTCCATAAACAGGACCCCAAATCCCTCACATTATTATGTGGTGATTTTTTTAATCTCATGTGAACAAATGTGACTAATAGACTATGACCCATACTCTTAACTGAAATATGTCAACGTCACTGTTTCCTTTCAAAAGAGAGGCCACACTTCTGTACCAAGGAAAGAGAATGTGTAAAAGAGAAAAATCCCTACTTGACATAAAGTGTTTTAGTTGAAAAAGCCTGCTTGCTAACCCTTTAGATTATCTATATAATTTGGAGGGAAACACTACACACACAGAAACTCTATAAATAACGTGGAGAGAAACAAGTTCCTTTCTAAACCAAATATGGCAAAAGAAGGGTGTGACTGGATGCTGGCTACCAGAGCGCACGCTTTCATTCTAGCGAAGGTTATATAGAGGTGGAACCCCACTCAGTGCCATGCAGCCTTGCAGGAACAGTCTCCTAGTTGTTGCTTCAGGGTTTCACTGTAAGCTGTGAAGATCTCAGGCAAGCCTCTCCAGCCCCAGAAGCCAGCCTCTTCACACCACAAACAGTTCCAGTTTTGTCAGATATCTGAAGCAGTGTGGGCAATATGTGGTGTTATATTGAAGAGGCAATATTGCAGAGGTTAAGGGCAAGGCTAGTGGCTTCACCACTAGCTATATGGCTAGTGTGTGAAAGTGATTTCATCTCTCGGTAGCTCAGTTTTCTGATATGTTACATGGAGATAATTAGAGTTGATACTTCATAGGATGCGTGGCAGAGACATTCACTGCTCACCCAATATCCATGTAGTCTCCTGTTATCTCCCAGCCCACTTGAAATTAGGGAAACCAGCTTTGAGAATGGGCTGTGAGCTGAAGTGATATATGTCAGTTCTGAGCCAAAACATTTGAAAATCCAGTGAGCAACACTCTAGTTCTTTATTTCCCAACCAAGATGAAGGCCTTGTGTTCCAGAAAGTGCAGCTACAAGAAAGTGGGGCTTTTTTAGCTTATAGTTCCACATAACTATGTGGAACAGAGACTCCCATTCCCATCCTCTTCTAACAATCCATGTTGGACATATAAACATGAGAAGTAAACTTTTGCTATGTAAAGTCACTGAGATTTGAGGACCAATCTGTTACTGAGGTATAAACTAGCCTATCCTGGCTAATATAGAACATTTTAAAGATTAAGTTCATTTATAAATACAAGACATTTAAGATAGACATATACAGTAAGGGGCAAATGTTAGCTATCAGTATTGTTGTTGTAATTATTACTATAACAAAGCAGAACACAATGCTTTAGCTAGTCTCTGTCTTTTAGTGACCTTTCCATCTTATTACTATCAAAAGAATGCCAATGTGGGCTTTCCCTGAGAAGAAAGATAATCTTTAATTAGGTAGGTTTTAAAATCTTTATACCTGAAAGGCTTATAACTCAGAGAAGTCATATGACCTGTCCAAAACCATAGTCTGGACTCAGATCTCTGTCTTCTATTTCCTACCCTATGCTCTTTCCTGTATATCAGGCTTCTCCTAGTCTACAATGTTTACCCAGGGTGTAGATTGCACTATTTGTGCCAGTTTTCCACCCTTGCCTGTGTCCATGCCCTTAGTCATCTAATTGTGTGGTGCCCTCCTATTATGATTCTGGGGCTGGCCATGTAGCATGTTTTGAATCAATGGAATGTTGGCTAAGAGTCATGCAAGCAGAATTCTCAAAGGCACCCATATGCTTGGGCTTCTTGCTCTTTCCCTCGACCATTGCCTGAGAAGAACACACCCAGGCTAGTTGTCTGGAGTATGGGAGATGTGTGGAGAATGTGTAGAGCTGAGTCGCCCACCAGCTTAGCCAAGGCCAGTCTAGATCAGCTAACAGCCAGACCAAAGAAAGTCCTGTCAATATCAACACAGATAATTACCCAGACACTTGAGCAATAAGAGTTTACTGTTAATTGCCACTGAGGTTTCTTAATTTTTATTTTCACTTGACATTATTGTGATAACAGATAACTGATATGCCAGAAAACCACTTTGTTCAAAGATCTTATAATCTGTGAAAAGCACATATTACCTAAATTGATTTGTTTTTGTCTCTTTACATCCTTCCTAAACAGCACCGATAAAAGAATTGATGCTTATGCTCTTTGCAAAAATTCTCCTAAGAAGTGGTGAGGAGGCATTCTTGCTAAGGCTTCACATTCTCCCTCCCTCTCCAGGTATCACCCACTCACCTTATTGGGAAACGTTGCATCAATCTCCTCCTGTAATTTCTGCTGCACATCAGGGTGTGTGGCCAGCAAATACATAAAGAAGGAAAGAGACGTGCTAGTGGTCTCATATCCAGCAAAAATAAAGATAATAGACTGGGCGACAAGCTCCAGATCAGACAGAGCTAGAAGGGAAAAAAAAGACATTTTAGGTAAAGCAGGTCAGTGTACAACATCACAGTTTAGATGATGAGAAATCCAAATGAAACGCCAAACTGCTAGAAGAAAAAAGTGGAAATTAATTCAGAACAAATTGGGTGGGCTCACACTCTAATGTGTATACTACAGATCCAGAAAAAGGCAAAAAAAAAAAAAAAGAGTCAATCCAATTTTTCCAAAGGATGACACCATTCTTGGCCATCTGCTCCTGGTTACATCACTCTCACCACTAACTGAGCTGTGTAATTCCAGAGAGAGTATTCTTGTGAAACAAACACAGTATGTTATTGGAGAATCCTAAAAGTAGTTTAGTTACAAGTAATATGGGGTAGCATTCTCCCCCAGGAAAAATTTAAATCATTTTGTATGAATATACCTGAAAATTTTTTGAGACAGTTTGCAATACTAAGGTTTAGGTAGAGAAAATTAAAACATATTTCTTCTAAGTTTTCGGAACTTAAGAGAACAATAATGGGCTACAGATAAACTATTCTACTCAAGGTATTGTCCATGGACCAGCAGCATCAGCAGAATCTGGGAGCTCATTAGAAATGCAGAATTTCAAACCCCACACTAGAATGATCAAATCACAATTATGAACTTTCAAGTTATGTGATGATTTGGGTGCACAACCTAGCTTGAGAAGCATGGATTATACCTTGAAGAGGCAGGCATCAGGTAATAGAAGACCTGGGACACATGTCTTCAAATGGATGATCTCAGATGTATATAGAAACTGCTGAGATAGACAAAGAGCTAGAAAAGTGTTGACTGATCCTAGTCTAATCATTGGCATTGAAATAGCTGAAGAATAAATGTGTCAACAGAAGGGCACTGGACAGTATGAAATAGAAAAATAGGGCCTAGTGAGTGGAATTAGCAAAGTTTATTCAATCATGACCTGAATGTCATCTTTCTCATATTTACTCTACTTTATGCTCAGCAAACAGCTTTTGTGAGCACACTGCCCCCCCCTTTTTTAAAAATTTATCTTTATTGTTGAAAGTATTACAGGTGTCCCATGTTTTCCCCCATTGATCCCCTCCACCTGGCTCCCTTTTTTATTTTCTCCTGAGAGAATAAATGTGGTTAAACTCTAATCTATTTGCTTGGGACTGGATTAGGACCTTTAGATACTTAGAGCACCGAAATAAACATGGTACTCCTCACAACCTTGTAATTCACAACTAAAACAAGACAGGTTTACAGAGTTCCAATTTTCCAAAGATGATTTTTATTATGCTCTTGGGGGTAAATTGAACTATCAAATTCCTTCCCTCAGGAAATACCTCATGATATTCCAAGTTTAGAGCTCTGCTGCCCAATATGGTAGCCACTAGCTATATGTGTTTATTTAAATTTTAACTAATTAAAATTAAATATAATTTAAGATTCAGTTTTCAGTTGTGCTGCTCACATGTCAAGTGTGCAATAGCCACATGTGCCTACTGGTAATTCTATTGAACAATGCAGATATAGAATATGTTCTCCTTCATTACAGAAAGCTATATTGGACCACACAGATAGATGATAGATTAGATAGGTAGGTAGGTAGGTAGGTAGGTAGGTAGGTAGGTAGGTAGGTAGATAGATAGATAGATAGATAGATAGATAGATAGATAATGGATGGAAGAATAGATGATAGATATAGATAGATAGACAGACAGACAGACAGACAGACAGACAGATAGATAGATGATAGATAGATAGATAGATAGATAGATAGATAGATAGATAGATAGATAGATGCTAGGTGGGTAGATAGATAAAAGAAAGAAGGAAAGAATAAAAATTTAAGAAAAACATGATGTATTGAAAAAAGAATGACGTAAAGAGAGTAAATTTCTAATAAATGAGATCATATTGATATAAAATTTAAAAACCAATAAATAAATGAGGAGAAATGAAAGCTCTCCCTTACAGTGGAACATCAACTCATAAATGTAGAAGAAATGTTGCAATTAGAAAGTCATCATTTTGCTACCATCGTAGTCAAAAACCATCCGTGGATGATAAAACTAGTAGGAAGAGGAACAGAATACTTACTTAGCCTCAAAGGCTTCCCCAGTGACGACTCTGACACTAAGTAAATGAAAAATAAAGCTTTACAGTAGAGTAAGCTACTGAACACAATTTTAACCAAGTGTTCCAAGTTAAGGTCACCAACACTGGGGCAATGTGCTTCCCGATGTGATGAAGTCTTGATGCAAATTTCCGTGCAGCTGGATGAGGCCAGAGAAGAGACACTGGAAACAAGCTCCCCAGAGATTCTGATGTGGGTGATCCGCAGACCACTGACTGACCTCTGGGCATAAAATTCTTGTATATGGTACCCTTCAAGCTTGAACATAGCTGTGGCACATGCTTCTAGAAAGTGCCTCTGGCTACCACTCATATCTGAGCATATGTCTTCAATTTGGCAGAAACTCTTATCTGCCTGGAAAACGTCCTGCACATTTTCAGAACCACCGCTGCCTCTGAGCCCCCCACTGGCCCTCTGAAGCGTGCCTAGTGTACCTTTATGGGAGTCTGCTTCTTTGGCATTCTGGGAGTTAATCATCAGCTGAAGAAAGTCCACTCGGTGCTGGAAGCAGAAGGAGAAATTTCAGGGTTAGAAAGGAATAAATCAAGGGTGCAGCACTAAATTTCTTTCCTAATAAAATGGCCCCTTTAAGTCCAGAAGTGTGTCTAGTGTTGCTTGAGTCATCAGGGAATAAAAACATCCAGCTGCAAGTTTGGAGAGCAGGATGTTTCCCTGAGAAAAATCTAGCCCTTATGTCCAGCTGCTTTTTGGTCCCCACTCTCTCTGATCTTCAGCTTCTCTCACTTTTGAACACAGCTTCCTGGCCAAAGAGTTGCCTGCCCCCTCTCCTGTCATATCTGCTTGCTCACAGAAATGTCCCGGATCGAAGCCTTCTTTCCCTCTCGCCTTAATTCTCAGTGAACGACCACATGGATTAACCTCCTGATATCTGAAGTTCATTGGCAGTTTTTCTGTGAGCAGCTTCAGTGCCCACCGTCCTAGAACTGCCCACATGTTCGGTGCAACCCTGGGGCACCCAGCCCTAGCCCACGGCCTGCAGGCATCCTCGTGCCGGCCTCCAGGTCCGTGAAGGCAACGCTGGGTTAGGCAGCCTGCAGCCTCAACGCCAGGGAAGGCCGCGGCCCTGCCCGGTGTCTGAGCAGCTGCAGTTAACGCGGAGCAGCGCCACGGGTTCCGGGGGGACACCACTGCAGAATGTGTAAAATATGAGGCTTGGAACTGATGTGATTCTTGCAAATTTAAAATCTGGGGAATTGTNTCCACGGGTTCTGGGGGGACACCACTGCAGAATGTGTAAAATACGAGGCTTGGAACTGATGTGATTCTTGCAAATTTAAAATCTGGGGAATTGTGATACCAGGAAAATCATTTTTACACAGTAATTTTAATACTTTGACAATTTATTGAAGGAAAATAGAAAACTTTTTCTCAATAACATCCATGCAGTGATATACTGACCCTTGTGCCTATTACTACATTTTAGACGTCTCTCTGACTCACTTGGTATTTCCTTTCCTATCCTCCACCTTGTTCATTCCACACAAAATGTTATAACTTTCCTCCTGTAAACCTACAGTTCTCTACTAACCTAAGAAAAGAGAAGTGCACAAATCATACGTACACAGCTCAATAAATTATCAAAGAGGAAACACACTCACACAACCACACCAGATTTTACCTTTTGGTTATCTTGGAGGCGACTTTCTTTCATCTTTTTTACAGATTTTTTGAAAAAATCAGTAACACTTTTTGGAAACAGAGTAATATTAAATGATTCAAAAACTGGGCCAAGGAATGGAAAGAGTGCTGTAAGAAAAAAAGAAAAAAAAACAAATGAAATACAATGAAAATACAAACTGTACCTGGAGCAATTATAATTTTCCCTACCAGTCAGAAGAGTAAAAGACACCAGGNTACAAATGAAACACAATGAAATACAATGAAAATACAAACTGTACTTGGAGCAATTATAATTTTCCCTACCAGTCAGAAGAGTAAAAGACACCAGGCTTCTCAGCCAGGAGCCAGTACCTCTATGACCTTTGCTCAGACTTACAAGCCCATGGCTGAGCAAGGGCAAGTCCACGCACAGGGGCCATCACTATAGCAGTGGGATCAGTGGCCCCTTCCTCATCTTTTGGGTGACTAAAGGAACAGAATTACAACCCTCAACAGCTTTGCCTTTTATCTTTTAAACTAGATTGTCTTTGAATAAACCAGACCAGAGTCTGAACTTTAATTAAATGTACTGTTCAAGAAATAGTCAGATGCACATGCATTGACACAGTAGAACACTAGACACTAAAATGTCAACAATTATATGAGAGTTTAATTATAGGAGAGTCTTATTTCTTCTTTGTCTTTTAAAACAATTCTGACATTTTTTTATAAGAAATGTGCATTGTATAATAATACAAATATTAACCAAAATATATTTTAAAAAAGAATTTGCAGTCAGGATAGAAATAATACAGTGCACATCTTTCAGCCATAAGGGAATAAAATTAGAAATCAATAACAAAGACAATTGGGAAACTCACTAATATGTGGAAATTAAAAAACACCCTCCTAAATAACCCATGGGTCCTACAAAAAATCAAAAGGGCAATTAGGAATTACTTTGAGATAAACAAAAATGAAGAGACAACATAACAAAATTTATCAATAGAGCAAAAGCAGTGCATAGAGACAAAATGTGGCTATAAGTGTCTACATTTAAAAGGAACAAAGATCTCAAATCAATAAACAAACTTTCCCCCTTAACACACTGGAACAAAAGAGCAAACAAAACCAAAAGCCAGCAGGAGAAAGCAGATAACATAGATGAGGAAAGAAACTAATAAAATAAAGAATAAAAACAATAGAGAAGATCGATGAAATCAAAAGATGATTCTTTGAAGACATTTAGATAAATTGACCAAGAAAAAAGAAGATTCAAACTACTAGCATCAGAAATGAAAAACAGGAGGTTACTACTGACATTAAAAAATTAAAAAACTATAAGGGAATATTATGAACAACTGTATGCCAATANAGTTACTACTGACATTAAAAAATTTAAAAACTATAAAGGAATATTATGAACAACTGTATGCCAATACATTAGATAACTTTGATGAAATGGACAAATTTCTAGAAAGACGCAACTATAGAAACTGACTCATAAAGAAACAGAATAGACCAGTAACAAGAAAAAAGACCGAATTCGTAATCAAGAAACTACCCACAAAGAAAAGCTCAGGACCAGATGACTTTGATGGTGAATTCTACCAAATATTTAAAGAACACCAATTTTTCACAAACTCTTCCACAAAATAGAAAAGGAGGGAGCACTTCCAAACTGATTGTACAAGGCCAATATTACCCTGATACTAAAACCACACAAAGATATCACAGGAAAAGAAAGCTACAGACCAATATATTTTATGAACATGGATGCACTAATCCTTAACAAAACACTAGCAAACTCAATTCAGAAATGTATAAAAGGAATTACATACCACAACCAAATGGGGTTTATCCCAGAAATGCGAGGCTGTGTAATACACTATACCAATAGAGTAAAAAACAAAAGCCACATGATCATCTCAGTACAAGCAGCAATAGTATTTGACTAAATACAATACCTTTTTGTGATAGAAAACACTCAACAATCTAGACATAGAGAGGAATTTCCTCACCCTGGTAAAGGCCATGTATGGAAAACCCATAGCTAACACCATACTTCAGAGTGGAAGCCTGAATGCTTTCCCCTAAGCTTAGGAACAAGACAAGAACGCCTCTTTCACCACTTCTATTCAACATTATGCTAGAGGTTCTAGCCAGGGGAAGGAGCTTTAAAAAGCAAAGAAATAAAAGGTATGGACATAGGAAATGGACAATAAAAACTACCCCTGTTATCAGACAACATAACCTTGTATACAGAAAATCCTTAAATATCCACCAAAAACCTATTAGAATTCATAAACAAGTTCAGTAGGGTTTCAGGATACAAGATCAATGTACAGGGTGAGTTGTAATTTTATAAGTTGCAATAAACAATTCAAAAGTGAAATGAAGAAAACAGTTCCAGTTGCAATACCTGGAATCAAGAGAATACTTAGAAATAAACTTAACAAAAGAAGAGCAAAACTTATAGTCAGAAAATGACAAAACATTGTTGAAATAAATTAAAGTAGGTTTAAGTAAATGGAAAAACATATATGTTCATGGATCAGAAAATTTCATCTTGTTAAGATGGCAATACTACCCAAATTGATCTACAGATTTAATGCATTGACTATCAGACTCCTAACTTGATTCTTTATAGAAAATGACAAGCTAAATTTAAAATTTTTATAAAATGGCAAAGGACCCAGGATAGGCAAGTATGAAAAAAAAAGAATATACTTATAAAACTCACACTTCCTGATTTCAAAACTTACCACTTACAATAATTAGGGCAATGTGATACTGGCATAAGGATAGACATATAGAATAAAATTTAGAGTCTGAAATAAACTCAAGTGCCTAAGGTCAACTAAATTTAAAGGAATTACATTTAGTTTTAAATTACAGTTGAGATACAATATTATATTAGTTTCAGGTGATCAATATAGTGATTAGGCATTTATATACCGTATGAATGATCACCCTGGTAAGTCCATTACCCACCTGAAACCATACATACTTATTACAGCATTACTGACCATATTTTCTATTCGGTACTCTACATCCCCATGACTCTTTTTTATAACTGGCAATTTGTACTTAATTCCTTTTACCTTTTATACCCATCCCTTCAACTGCCCTCCCGTCTGGCAATCATCAATTTGTTTTCTGTATCTATGAGTCTGTTTCTATTTTGTTTGTTTTGTTTTTTTAGATTCCGCATAGAAGTGGAATCATATGGTATTTGTCTTTCTCTGTCTGATTTATTTCACTTAGCATAATACCTTCTAGGTTCATCCATGTTGCCTCAAATGGTAAGATTTCATTTTTTATGGCTAATATCCCATTCTATATATGTACCACAACTTCTTTATTCATTTGTCTATTGATGCACACTTAGGTTGCTTCCATATCTTGGCTATTGTAAATAATATTTCAATGGACATAAGGTGTGTATATATCTTTTTAAATTAGTGTTTTCAATTTCTCAGTAAATACCTGGAAATGAAATTCCTGGGTCATATGGTAGTTCCACTTTTTATTGTTTGAGGAGCATCATTACTGTTTTCCATAGTGGCTGCTCTAATTTACAATCCCCTCAATAGTGCATGAGAGTCCCCTTTTCTTCACAATTCCACCAACACTTGTCTGTTGATTTATTGATGGTAGCCATTCTGACAGGTATGAGGTGATACCTCACTGTGGTTTTAATTTGCTTTTTTTTTTTTTTAATATATCTTTATTGATTTCAGAGAGAGGAAGAGAGAGATAGAAACATCAATGATGATGTCATTGATTGGCTGCATTCCGCAACCCGGGCATGTGCCCTGACCGGGAATCGAACCCTGATTTCCTGGAACCTAGGCCGATGCTCAACCACTGAGCCACGCCCGGCTGGGCAGTTTGCTTTTTTTAAAAATGAGTGGCAGTGTTGAGCATCTTTTCATATGTCTATTGGACATTCGTATGTCTTCTTTAGAGAAATGTCTACTCAGATTAAGATCAACTGAATTTTGAGAACGCGTCTAAGTCCATTCAGTGGGGAAAAACAGGCTTTTTAATAAATGATGCTGGGACAGCTGGATAGCCATATGCAAAAGAATGAAGTTGGGCTCATACATTATACCATATATAAAAACAAAATAAAAATGAGTATTTTTTAGAGTCCACATTAAGTGAGATCATACAGTATTTGTCTTTCTCTGTCTGACTTATTTCACTTAGCATAACGCCCTCAAAGTTCATCCATGTAGTTGCAAATGGCAGGACGGTCCTTCCCCTTTATGGCTAGATAGCACCCATTTTATCTATCTATCTATGTATGCCACATTTTTTATCTGTCTATCTGTCAACAGAAACTAGGTTGTAAAAATGATAGAATTGTACATTTTAAATGGATGAATTATATAGTATGTGAATTATATCTGAAATGAGCTTTTATAGAAAGAGAGGAGAAAGGAGAGAGAAGGGAGAGGTGGGAAAGGGGGAAGAAGGAAAAAGAAATACAGTAGTCCACATACTTATGCAGAGAATGAACGGATTGAAGAAACTAAATTTCAAGAGCTGCTTGACATTTTCCACAAAGGGATCTTGTGGGTTGTTGAGGGAATCGATGTTCACTCCAAATGATGTGCTAGTAATCACATCCATGCTGTAGGCCCCAAAGATGCTGAGTAGAGAAAGAAAGACATAGAAAATTAAAATCAGCAACTCTCTACTATCCTTATGCAACAAAAACAAGAGGGGCATGTAAATTCATATACCCAGGCAAAGACAGGTAAAGAGCCACACAACCGTCAAAACCATCTGCTGGACCATCTAAAGAATCTGTGCTCCTGTCACACTCAGTCATGAGGTGCAGCTGGCCCTGTGCTGGGTCATGGGCACACTAAGGCAAGTTAGACCCACCTGTGAGCACACGAGATCAGTCAGAGGGATGGAGACACATAACCAGACAAATTACAGTAGTGTTTTGAGTCTGGACAATAGTACCAGCGCTGTGCCTGAGCAGGACAAAGGGTAGACAATGAACTCTTCCTAGTGGAATCAAGAAAGGTGACACTGATGTGGCTCTTGCCTCACACAGTATCTGTGCTCAGAGCTGATTCTGCTCCAGCACATTACAGAACAGCAGCACTGGTCTGAGTTGCCAGGAACACCATCCCTCCTTCTCTGCACTCCTGCTAAAGCTCCTGAAAGACCCACTCTCCTCAACTCCAGTGATCCGAAGTTGCCTCGAGGGCAGGCTCATTTCTGTAAAATGTAAGAATTAAGAATGTTCCTGGCTTAAAAAATACTAATAATAAATCACTCCAAAATCGATTTGGGGGAATCCCAGAGGTGAGTGATCACATGTCCCCCGTTTTCCCAGATCAGTCCCACTTTACCTCTGTTGTTCCCCCATAGTTAGAAGAATCTTACTTTTTTAAGATTTTTAAAATATATTTTATTGATTTCAGAGAGAGGAAGGGAGAGGGAGAGAGAGAGCTGAAACATCCATGATGAGAGAGTCATTGATGGGCTGCCTCCTGCACGCCCCCGACAGCCTGCCCATGTGCCCTGACCAGGAATTGAACCATGATCTCCTGGATCAAAGGGCGATGCTCAACCATGAGCCACGTCCAGCCGGGCGGAAGTATCTTACTTTAGAAAATAAATGACATGCTCGCCCTACCCATAGTCTGTACAGGACCTTCTTTATTCTGAGACTAAGGAAAGGAGAAGTGATGGTAAGGTTTAATATTTAGTGTTTTGCTGGTATCCCCACCAAAATCATGAAGGGGTTTAAGTTGTTCCAAGTTCCACGTTGCAAATTCCCTGCGCCACCCACTGCCCACCAACACATAGCAGTGCCTTCCCTGCCCTATGTCACACTCTCTACACCAAAACTGCTTGTACAATCGTGTTTCTACTTTCTAAGCTGGGTATTTTTGTCTTCCAGAATATCCAAGGTGACAATTAAGCAGACAAATTAATCCTGGTGCATGTACACAGGAAAAGATCTTTCTCTCCTGGCTGCCCTGCCTTTCTGGGTGAGCCACGTCTTCTCGGGCAGCCCCCTGGAGTTCTAACACCACACACCTACTTCTGTTTGGTCACCAGAGGAACTCAACAGTGGGAATTTCGGCTGTCAGGCGGCTGGAGGCCTTGGGGCAGAGCTCAGAATCGCAGCAGCTGGACTCCTACTTACTCTTTCAAGGTGACGGGCTTGCCTTTATCTGCTTCCTTCCTCAGGTTCCTCACCAACACATCTCCATACTTGCTAACGATGGGGAACATCTAGACACAAAATACAGCACCACCCGCAATTAAATGTGAAGACTCGTGTCCTAGAGAACCTACCTTTCTCAAGCATGGAGCAGTAAGCGATATTTTATAATGAAGCTTATAATGCCACTTCTAGGACATAAAAATGAAAGACCATTTTTAGGAAGCTCAAATTCAGCAGGCTACCCTTGGAAAGAAACTACCTTATTTTCTACCTGTTCCAGATGCATTCTTTAACTTTCAAATTAAATATCCTCTTATATCCTTACCTCCTTGAGCTTTCCACTGGTGAAGGTTGGAGACAGCAGCGTTCGTATTCTCTTCCAAGTCTCATCCTCAGCCATAGAGATGGAACTTTTCATAAACCCCACTGGACCAACAGACTAGAGTTAAAAGCAAAAGACATTTTGTTCTACATAAGTTTTGACAGTCTCAACAGTTGTTAAATGGCATCAATTATTCAACAAATATTTGGTGACTGCCTACTTAGTAGCAGGTCCTATGCTAGATACTCAATAAATACTTATCCCAAATGTCTAGCATCTCATGAAGGTGCAGGAGACTTCCAGACACCTGATGTGCTTTCAGGCTTTATATTTCAATCTCCTTTTCAATGCAAAGGACCCATGTGTCGGGGAAACTGCTCCTCCAGGGGAATAGATAGGAATAAGTCCTAATACATCCTCCGGGGCTGTGCAGAATAGAAAGGAATTCTTGACAGATACACAGGTAGCTTTGGCAAACTGTATGCTGCCTCAGACCAGTTCTGTCTTTACTTACATCTGCAGCATGAGCAACTTGAAAAGGGGATGTGTAAAATGGTGGGGTTTTAAAATAAAATAGTGGTTACTACTTAAAAGATAAGGAATCTGCCTGGCTCAGCGGCTGAGCATCGACCTAGGATCCAGGTGATCAGGGTTCGATTCCTGGTCAGAGCACATGCCCGGGTTGCGGGCTCGATCCCCAGTCGGGGGCGTGCAGGAGGCAGCCAATCAGTGACCCTCTCATCATTCATGTTTCTATCTCTCTCTCTCCGTCTCTTTCCTCTCTCTGAGATCAATAAAAACAGATAAGGAATCTATTTGCTATTCTGAAACTGATACAATTACATGGAAATCCCTTTCCCTTCCATTTTCCCACCAGGAACAGAAGAAAAAAGAAAAAGGTAATTCTATTTCTCACATTGGGACTGGCCTATGAAGCCACCCTGCTGGAGACTTTTCTTCCATTTTTCCACCACCATGTATATTTTTTAAGTGGACATCTCTAATACACATTCATGATTTTAAAAAAACTCACCAACTAGAAAAGGGAAACTTCCTCAACTTGATAAAGAGCATCTATAAAACCTACAGGTATCATCACATTAATGAGATAAGTAACATCACCTGGTGGAATAGGAAGATCCTACCTCCACTGCCCCCCAAAAAACTATTAGCTATCCACACACAAAAATAGGTGTAGGAGAGCTCAGGAGTTCACTCAAGAAAATTAGCAACAGGGTGGAGGAAAAAAACACCTGAGAATAACTATACAAAATGGACAGGCATAATAGTTTCATTTTGCCTGCCTGCATCATCTCATCCCCCGGCCGGCACTGCTCAGTGCCAAGAGAGAAATCCCCAGCCTTTGAGACTTCGCCTTGCTGAGAAAGAACAACAGGGTGAGTGACAATTTCTCCAGCCTTTCAGGGCATTGCACAAATTACCTGCTGTGGTTTCACTATACCCACTATTCTGGCAGGCATAGAAGGGCGGTCTAGAAATAGTTAAGGACAAAGAAGAGCAGGAACTACCAGTACCAGCCATGTGGCATGAATAACCATGATTTTTTGGGTACGGCTCTGCAGGAGACCCCAACAGCCTTTGAGGCTGAGGAAACCAACGGGGCACAGATGCTGTGAACCCCCTGCAGATTTTACTGCTGACACCCCCACAGATTTTCACATTCGCAAAATCCAGGAGCCTCATTCCTGCCCAATCACACTCCACTTCCACCAGTGCTGCCCCAATTTGTGCCACCGCCAACGCCCTTAGCCTCAGGATCTGTGCCAGCAGCCAGCCCTGGCTTCTGTGGCTGGGCATGTGTATAACACCAACCCAGTCCTCTGCTGATTCTCAGGTGCCCAGAGCCAGCTCTGACTCCTGTTAGTGGGCTGCACTGCCACTTATGCCCACAGCTAACCCCTGCAGCCACACACCTGCACACTTTCAGCCTCAACTCCATTCACCAGCCCCACTGCTGCACATGTGCTTGTAGGTAGCTGCTATAGCTACATGAGTGTACACTGACAGCCCAGGCACTCTAAGCTACTTGTGTGCCCACAGCGGGCCCAGACCCTGCCACTGGAACCAGATCTCACAATTGGACATGTGTGCCTGCAGTTAGGCCCAAGAATTTGCATACCACCAAATTTGGCTGCCACTGCCACCTGCCCGAGTCCCTCACCACTGGACCTCTTGATGCTGTTGAAGACTCCAACAGCCCTTGCAGCCACCATGGGAAAAACACAGCTCTTGCTGTCAAGGATCATACAGTCGGTTATGTTGTGAACCCCTGCTACCTGGCCAACGTTGTCCACCAGACCTGGAGGACTACACACCCCATGAGGCATCCTGTACCACTAAATCAAGGGCACTCCAGTGTGCCCCAACCCACAAGTAAAGGTCTCCCCTTACTAAACTTACTTTATAAAATCTGCAAGAGGTGACTGCTTCTTCAAATGCACAGACACCATTGTAAAACTGCAGTAATCACAAAGAATCAGGGAAACCTGACTCCACCAAAGGAACACAATACACTTCTAGCAACAGACCCCAAAGAAATGGAGATCACAAATTGCCCTGACAAGGTATTCAAAACACTTGTCCAGCTAAGGTCAGAGAGCTAAAGAAACAAAAATTTTAGCAAGATCATCTGGTGGTATATTTGCTGATTCTTCATGGTCCCTTAGTCTTGCAATGGTATCTGTGCATTGCCATTAACTAATTTTACCTCAATAAATCTAATTTTTGTATAATTTAACAAAATCAGAAAAAAAATACGAAAAAAGAGAAGTTCAACAGAGATATAAAGCATAAAAAGAAAAAAAAATAAATTCTGAAACTGAAGAGTACAATGACTGAACTAAAAAAAATGCAACAGAGAGTTACAAGATCAGGCCCAATCAAGTAGAAGAAAAGTAAGCCAACTCAAATGACAGATCATTTACAATTATCCAGCCGTATCCCACACCCACGTGCGCTGGACAAAAATCAGGAGGGATATCTTTGCTATGGAGGTCCCCCTGAGTAGCGAGGGGTCCAAGCCCCACACCAGGCTTCCCAGCCCAGGGGTTCCAGTGCTGGGAAGAGGGTGCATAAGCTATTCAAGGAGGAAGGATAGCCTTTTCACAAATGGTGCTGCAGCAATAAGACATCCATAGGAGGGAGGAAAAGAACCTTAACCTACACTTTACACCTTATACAAATATTAACACAAAATGGATCACAGACTTAAATGTAAAACATAAAACTCTATAATGTTTATATACATAAGAGAAAATCTTTGGTACCTACGGCTAGGTAAAGAGTTTTAAGAATTGGCACTAAAGGGACAACCTATACAAAAAACGATAAATTGGCTTTATCAATATTTTAAAAATATATTTGCTCACTAAAGACCCTGATAAATGACAAGCTACACACTGTGACTATAAAAGAATAGTAAGAGGGAGCCTTATGGTGATGGAACAGTTCTGTATATTCATTATGGTGGTAGATACACAAATCTACACACATGATAAATTTTAATAAGCAGCACACACACAAATGAGTGCACATAAAAATTATGAAATCTGAATAACCTCTGTAGATATAGTACCAATGTCAATTTCCTGCTCTAATAGTGTACTATAGTTATACAAGACATTACTATTGAGGGAAACAGAATGAAAGGGGGATATTCCTGTATTTTCTTTTGGTAACTTTCTGTTACTCTATTATTATTTTAATATTAAAAATTAAAAACAAAGAACAATTTAATTTTAAAAAGAATGGATGCCTACCCGCCGATTTGTGAAGACAGAATAACATTCTTTCACTAGGACTGTTTTGATCAGGTCTAAGTCGGTGATCACCAACACAGGCTGTCGACCGTCATAGATCCTGTGTTCAAAAAACAGAGTTGATTAAATTGAACAAGTTTCTGCAGCTGAAGCCACTCCTGCAAGTCCAGACTTTCATTCTGATGCTACAGAATCTATATTCCTAAGATCATTGTTAGAAATTACATTAGAACATTTAAATTCAGGTGGCGTGTGTGTAGGAATTTCCTATACCATTCTTATTTTTTGTATGTTTAAAATATTTCACTATCAAAAAAGAAGTTAAGTTAGTAAATAGATGAAGGCAAGTAAATTATCTGAGAACATTAAAAAAAAAAGAAAAGAGAGAGCCTACCCACTCAGTTACTTAAAAAAATACTTGTGAAGACATATAAAAAACATAAAAAATGCATATGACATACTACTATATGAAAAGTGTAGACACATGATTACAAATATGTAAAAATGTGTCTGCAAATAAAAAAGACTTGGATTGTTCAAAAGGATCGAGAAGAAATATAAATGATTTATTTGCCCTATTTTCTAAAATTTGTTTACTGCTTTACAATTGCTTAAAGGAAATATTTTGACTATTACAGAGAAGTCCTTGGTAGAATCAAGTTTAGAAATATTTAAAACAAAGGACAAAGAGAATAAAAAATACAAAAGAGCATGTACAATTTATTTAAAAATATTTTCTGTTCATTACTTATATGTATTCTATATGTATCTCCTTCACTGTGGAGGCTTTGCATTCTAGAGAAGGTTTTCTTCATTCTCTGCAGAAGTTTTGGGATCTCAAAGGATTGTTCTTGAGACGTGGTGTAATAAATGCATCATTTTCAGGAGTAGAAACAGAAATATCTTTTTGGAGGGAGGGCAAAGAATTTGGTCTTCTCGTAAAACACTTCTGAGAATAGAGTTCATTGCCTGAATGTTGAGGACTCTGTACATTATTTGGCCTATAAAACGCTATATAAATAGATTTTAATAAATTTGTGTTTTAAAAAACTATACTTTTGCCCAGCCAGGCGTGGCTCAGTGGTTGAGTATCGACCTAGGATCCAGGAGATTGCAGTTCGATTCCCAGTCTGGGGCATGCAGGAGGCAGCTGATCAATGACTACTCTCTCATCATGGACGTTTCTATCTCTCTCTCTCCCTTTCCTTTCCTCTCTGAAATCAATAAAGACATATTTTCTTAAAAAGTATACTTTGAAGATGTATCAAGAACCTAAAAATTGCATATGACAAAATATTTGATGAAAAATGTAGACATACTGATCACAAAACTGTAAAAATGTGTCTGCAAATAAAAAAGGCTTGGAATGCTCAAAAAGATATAGTAGGAATATGAATTATTTCTTTGCCCTATTTTTAAAATTTTGTTTACTAGTTTACAATTGTTTAAAGGATATATTTTAACTATTAAAGAGAAGTCCTGGGTAGAGTCAAGTTTAGAAATATTTAAAACAAAGGACAAAGAGAATAAAAAATACAAAAGAGCATGTACTAGTCATTTAAAAATATTTTCTTTTTTTGCCCGGCCAGGCGTGGCTCAGTGGTTGAGCGTCGACCTAGGATCCAGGCGATNTTTTCATTACTTATATTTATTCTATATGTGGATCCTAAGTGGGCCTTGGGCTCCATGTAGGTGACATCAGTCAGCAGCAGGGCAAGCCCACTTTTAACACACATACCACACAGAGCTGACTCCTTCTGTGTGACACATTCCAATTTGGTGTCATCTCCTGACTGGTTTACTATAAGTTGAATTACATGAGGTTTACTATAAGGTTGGTAACACTGTCTTTTGGCATTTTATCCTTTACTACAAGTCATTTGCATTAGCTAGAGCAAAAGGGAACATTTTCCACAAGTCTTACCTACTCTTTCCTTGACTCTTCAGATGAATTTCAAGCAGTTTTGTGATCACCCATAAAAATGAGAACCACTGCACTGAGTGCTGCCCATTTCCAAAAAAATCTTCTGAAACTCAGAAGGTTTAAGTGGGTGTCAAGTACACTTAGTGTTGAAGCAGCGATCTAAGTAACTGTGGTGGCACTCAGGTTGGTCTGATTGATCATATTTCTTGGATGACTCCCCTCTCCCCATCGTGTTTTTCAAAAACACCTGGGTAGAGAGACACAAGGTTCTGGGTAACCCTTTACGTGTAGGACCTCACACCAGCCTTAGCGTTTGTTACACTGCCAAGCAACACGCAGATTCTTGGGCCCCAGTCCAGATTCTCGTTTCAGTGTTGCTGAGGGCTAGGCCCCAACACCCTGTATTTTTAACAAGCTCTCCAAGGTGGTTCTTATACACACCCAAGCAAGAGAACCGTTTTCTAAAGAAAGAAAGTGACTCCATCCAGAGCTCACAGGTTGTCCGTGTTGGAAGGGCAGCTGGACCTGGGCCAGTGGTGACCCAGTGCCTGTGTTCTTTCTACTCCATCATGTAGCCTTTCTGGGCCCTGCCAACTCAGTAGACCCTTATGGTTTCTGAGGATTGGTAAGAGGGTGAAAAAGTACTGAGAGGTAAAGCCTTCTGCCACTTGCTTCTAGAACACAAGCACCGCGTCACACCTCTCCTGCTCTCACGCACCTCCAGCAGCTCTGAGTGGGAGCAGCCACTGCAACTGGCCGAGACCACTTTACAAAACCCTCAAGTCCATCAGCCCACCAGGAAGCAGTGTTGCTTAGAAACATCCTACATCTCTTCAAAGTCAGTAGGCTAGAGTGGGTAAAGCAAGACTTGTACAAACTGTACCTCTACTGATGTCTTGACATAAAAGTTTTTAAAAACCCAAACTCTCTACTTGTGGAGGAAGTGAAAACAAAGCTGAGCAGATATGGTTTCCCATTCTGTTTACCTAAACCACAGCCCTGTTTCAAAAGGATGGAACAAATCCAAATATAAAATTAAGGGTTTTGGCTTTTAATTAATAGTCAATTATGTAGGAAATGGGTTATGATAGGCATATACTAAATGGGTCTGAAATAATGCCTTTCATCTAATTAAAGGAGATTGAAGGAAGGAAAAATGGAGAAGAGAGAAATAATGAGACACTGGACAGAAAGGGGTGCCAGTCCCGCGGCCACTTTCTGTATGATAACCTGCAACTCCCCAGCTTGATTTAGAATGCAGACCTGGACACCTAGTGACAGCGGGGGTCCTGGTAGGACAAGCCTCCAAAAGCTTTACAATAGGCTCTGGGCTGAGACTATCTCCACACCACAGGGGCCCTCATCATAACAGCAAGTCTATCCAATGGGAGTTTCCTGAATACTCACCCCCATATATTTCCGTACTTTTTAAAACAGTCCATGTCAAAATCCAATATTCCCTGCAAGGAGAAACAAAATTAAATGATTAATCTAAATATACTGAACTCTACCTTTAAAATCTCATAAACACTGGAATGATTACCCCTATAGACACTCCAGAAATGAGCTGAGGGAGAGTAAGAGTGACCTGCACACTCTTTGATCTCCTCCTCAAGCATTCTTCTCATTTATCTCATGAGCCCGCTCCAGAATCCTAGCAGAATCAGGAAGTTTAAGACACCAGTGACTTCCTTTAGTCTAGAAGATTTAAACAAGTCTGAGGTATGTTGGTTGAGCGAGAAGCGAGTGAGTGAATGAATGAATGACAAAGTGACATGCTTTCCAGTTTTCCAGCTCAACACAGAAAAGAGGGGAGATGCCACCATTCCAGAAGAACAGACCAAATTAAAACACTTTCTCTGCATTTTCACTTCTGTAATAAAAAAATACATCTTCTTGTTGCTAAGTTTCAGCTGTGATATTTGATGCTTTAACTATGCAAAGGAAGTTCCATCTATGTGGGTCTTGGGGTCATCTATAAGGAATTGATCTGGAAAAGGTGGAAAGGAAATTATTTCCTTTTCAGAGGCAAAAAGTTTGGGAATTTCTTAGATTAATAAAGGCATTGAGGCCTTAGCTGGGAGAAATAGAATCTAAGAAAGAAGCCTCTGGTCTGTGGGAAAGGAAATCTGATGCAGAGTGCTGTTTGCATGCAGGCTCTACCTGCTGGCGTTATGGGTCAGACCCTGGGAAAAGCATCAGGGCTGGATCAACCACAAACACTTTGCCAAAATTCACAGTCCATGTGTCCCTGAGGTAATTTCATGTTTAGTAATTTTGTCAAATCATACCCTTTCTAGTTATTTTGTGTAAGTAGTTCTCTGAAGTCCATAGACAAACACACTCTTGTCTCAGTTATACCCACTCCTTCTTGGACACACCCATAGAATGTCTCCTTTTAGGGCAGGAAAGTAAAGCAGAAAGCTCTTGTTCCATCTTTCAAACCCCCCAAAGATGTCATCGGAAGAAAAGGGTGAGTTAGAGGCATGGAAATAACTGCATGGATTTAGCAGTTCTTGAGAGAATTCAAGTACATATGTGCAAATTACCCAATGGTGAATTCTTGGGCTGCCTAATACACTCACATTTTGAATCTATCCAGAAGGAAGAAAAAAAAAAGCTGCCCAGAGCATATCCTGTGAACAGGAAAGTCTGACTCTAGCACATGCAACTTCATGAGGCACTGCCAGGCACCCCGTCATGCTTTTCTCCTAATCCTAAGTACGATTATGTCTTCCTGGAGTCTGCACCTAGCATGATGCTCACAAGTTGGAATAAGTTTTGTGCTGAATCAGCGAGAGAGCTCTGCTGCCCCATTGAGGCAAAACCTNCAAGTTTCGTGCTGAATCAGCGAGAGAGCTCTGCTGCCCCATTGAGGCAAAACCTGAGGCTCCTAAGAGCTGACACAGAGCCCTGGGAAAACCTGGCTCTGTGCAGGGTGAGGCCTATGATGCTCTTTCTGGGAAGTGTGAAACCTCAGAACTTCCTCCCAAGCAGGGCCCTTGTACTGTGGAACTCAGCTGTGATTTGTAACCATAAGAAGCAAAAGAGGGCTCTCAAACACTCACCGTATGGTATCCCAGAATAGTTCCCACAAAAGGATAGGGTTTTGGCCCAGGAATTCCCAGCTTCTTAAAAAGTCCATGTTTATAGGTCCCATATCTTTAAAGTGAAAGAGAAAGACAGGTTATAGGAATTACAGAATAGGTGTTGGGGCTGGCCAGTCACCGACTTAGAACTGGAANAGAATAGGGGCTGGGGCTGGCCAGTCACCGACTCAGAACTGGAACAGTCAAGCTAGGGAATGAACATGTAGCTGATAAATAACAACAGCAACTCCAATAGCAATAGTTATACTCGCTCATCATCTCCTTTCCCACTTTCACTGTGAACCCCAGAAAAAGTAATAGTGATTAAATAAAAGCAGCTGAAATCTTCATGGACCCAATCCCAAAGTGATTACTTGATAAATGTTTCCAAATGGGAATGTTCCTGAGAGGTTCTGGCTAAAATATTTTCAGAAAATCCAGTCATATTTTTTAGTAAGTTGGAGATCCTAGTTCTATGCACAAAGCATTTCTGCTCCAATGATGACATTTTGCTTAACTTCATTCCCTCAATAACAGAGTTACTATGAGCCTACCAAGACATTGCTCTTACAGTTTGCTCAGTGACATTTATGCTTTTCCTTCACTCTATGCCCTGACCCTGTGTTAGGTTCTGGTGCTTCTTAAATATATAATCCTAAACAGGCCTTGGAATAGCCACAGTATACTTATTTCTATAGAATTAAAACTGTGTTCAGGGCTTCCACTGGCATCACAGAAATGTGAGTGCCTTTCAGCCACACCCAAGTCTCTGTTGTCGGGCAATCTGGTTGACTTGAGCTCTAGAGAAGGGTGATTGACCCATATGTTTCCTGATAGAAACTGTATAAAGGGACCAATGAGTAAAGACTCCATTTCTAGACCATTCTTCCCCTGTGGCACCTGGTCCTCCAACCTGTGACGCTCACCTGCTAAGCACAGTGCAGGGCTCACTCATTTTATCAAGATGGCCACTCAGAAGGCAGTGAGTTTACTGCTTTGTCTGTGTATCAACTATCTCAAAATCCCAGTAAGGCCAGTGCTTCCTATGCTAGGCCTGCCTGCATTTGATCTTTCATGTGTCATGTGTGGAGTCACACAACTGGGGGTTCGGGATCCTTGCAAGCCTTCCACTCCATCTGAAAGATGGAAGAGCAGAGGACAAACAGAGGCTGCTGGCAATCATTTTAAGGATGAAGTTGCTAGGCCTCCTGGGCTCACCCCATAGAGGCAAATAAGAAAACTATGGCTGAAAAGTTGGCTCTGTATAATGGTTCAACATGCCCTGGAAGCACTTTCCGCTAAAAGGGGTCCTTCCCAACTTCAGTACCTTCTTGTTGATAGCAAAAGATGCATTGTACAACATAAATGAGTATCCAGAAAATGTTCCAGAAAGTTAAAACCTTGTCTCCTCTTCTTTGGAGATTAGCCTGTAAGGCAGTACAGGTTCCAAATCTTTTGTACAACTCCAGCAAATCTTACAATATGTGATAAAATAAACCCAGAAAACTTGGGTGAAAGGACTTGTGCTGAAGGAAAACAGAGGCATCTTGGCCAGGCCCAGATGGGTGTTTGGATCCTTCCTAAGAAACCTAATACAGTTGTGTGTGCAGTGACTGTCAAAACCTGGGTATCCTACACCAGTTCCTTCCTTTGCCATGACAACCATGGCAAAGCAATTAAACCCATTTTGCTTCTGAACTTTCAATATGTTACTCTCAAGTGTGGCCAAGCAATTGCGTGACTATGTCAGCAACTGAGTGATCTGGTATAGTGTCTAAGCTCATGTGGTTCCACATCATGGCAGAGGTGGGCTGGGTGAATTCCTGGGCTTCTTTCCAACTTTCCTCTTTTTGATAGGGAAATGCTGCTTTGGGTGCAAGTGAAGGAGCTAACATTAAAGCCAATCATTTTTCTTGCATTTACATTGTGTTGCCATAAGAGGACATTGTCTACCCTACAGCTGCTGATTCATGGCTGTACCAGTGCCTTCTAAGGCTACAGTGTTGTTTATCCAGTGTGACAGTATCTAGTGGCAGACCCACTGCCACACAGACCACACAGTGTGACTTAGATGGTATCCCTATCCCCAGGCTTCAAGCAGATGAGATGCCTACCCTGCTGCCCTGTGAGTGACCTCCTGTGGGACCAGGACCAGGAGTATCTGGCAGAAATATTCTCCCACTCCATCTAAAAGCCTCTCTTATCATCACTGCCTCACAATCTCGCTTACTCACCGGAACTGTGAGATTAAAAGAACTGGCTGGGCAGGTATATTTAAAAACAAATATATAATCTATGTTATAGAAGTACAGATTTATACAATGGACTCATATTTCTGACATTATTCTGTAGGGTGAGGTCATTTACACACTTCTGTAGACATAAATCCTGAACCAACAGCCTCTTTTATCCTACAAAAAAAACTTGCTGGAAAGAGTTTTTATCTCAGTAAAAAATCTAGTATTAAATAGAATGAAATTAAACCCTATCGATTAATTTTAAAATGTTATCAGACAGAAAGTATGTTGCCATAATACCCAGGATTCGTACCATTTCTTTCAAACAATTAAAATAATGTTTATATTTTCTATATTCATGTCATGATTTCCTACTCTTTATGAAAGTGAAATTGAGACAGAGGTCAAATGGGACATGGAAGGGGCCTTCCCTACCCACATGTCCAAAATAACTCCTCTCCCAACCTGTTTCATGGTGCCAGGAATCTCACGGTTGAAAGGAATTTCTCTGCTAGATGGTTTGATTCATCCTCCTGTACTGTAACTTAATGGAAAAATATTTTTTACATATTTTTTTATTGATTTCAGAGAGAGGAAGGGAGAGGGAGAGAGAGAGAGAGAGAGAAACATCAGTGATGAGAGAAAGTCACTGATTGGCTGCCTCCTGCATACCCCCTGCTGGGGATCGAGCCTGAAACCCCGGCATGTTCCCTGACCAGGAATCGAACCTCGATCTCCTGGATCCTAGGTCAAAGCTCAACCACTGAGCCACGCTGGCTGGGCAATGGAAAAATATTCAAATCCAAATTGGCTTTCGGGGTGATGCCTGCATAGGCAGTTAGCAGATTTCATATTGGGGGAAAGTAAATCTCTATAATGATGCCAACCCTCCTCAAAGACTAGAAGAAAGAAGTGGAAGAAAGGAATACGATTTCAAGATTTCTGCTAAGTTTCTTCTGCTCTGAAGTTTTCTCGGTTAGGGGTAATAGTTCCGCCACTTACACGGTGTGGGAACCGAGGAGGGACGTATTGGGGAGAGAGAGAATAGAGGGAAGAGCTGGTGTGAAGAGAAGAGGGGGCAGACTCCAGCCCCAGTGAGGTCTGGGGTGCACCCTGTTACGTAAATTATGCCAGACAGTGGGAGAGAGGGGAGCAGGAACAAACCTAGTGACACAAAGGCCATTCCTTGCCCACATCTCTTGCAGCAGACACAGAACTAGAAAGGTGAAGATAACTCCACAAAACCCCAGGCCACTCCCTCGTGCCTCCAGGATCCCCAAAGATGAGAAAGGGCTAAGGACCCCACTGCACAGAAGCCAGTTGTTTTTAATCTGCCTCTGCTGAATTCTGGTTAATTAGTCTAGGTCTACCCAAACTGTCAGTCAATCAGAAAATCACCCCAGGAGCAAGTAATGTCACCAAACTCTCCAGGCTACAGAAACTGAGCGTTGGAGGCAGATGGGGCATTACTCTTTCAGGGTAAGATCAATAATAACTCCTCTGGTGTTTGTAGTTCCCATTTAAGCAACTTCCCCTTTGTTAACCGTTGGGACTTTAAAACAGATAAAGCAAAGGGAGGTCTGAAGAGTTCTCCAAGCCCAAGATTACTGAGGATATGAGCCTGGATAGTAACTCACAGATAGAGGAGTGCCAGACTGATAGCCAGGAGAATCCAGGTTTCCACTGAAAAGCTGGGGATCAGGTCCATGGCCACTTTCCTTCTGAGATTGTGTCCCCTGAGTTTTCCTTTCAGCAGTGTGTTTCGCTTTGCCAGCTAGTGTGCGTGCGAAGCTCCCTTCTCCACCCCGCTGTGACTCTGCGCCCCTGGAATGCTTCCCTGTTTATGCTGTGAGGAAGTGGGTGGGGCTGGAGCAGCAAGCACTTAAAGGGCCCTCTGCGCTCCAACTGCAGATGCCCTCTTCACCTTGATAGTTAGCAAAGCATCATGGACACTCCCACTTTAACAACCCTTGAGTTCATATTCTGTGGGAAATCAATAAACAATTCACTGGGTGTTATCAGTAAGCCCAAAGATTACAGAAATTCAAGTAAAGCCCCTGGTATTAAATCTTTCAACTGCCCTTTATTCCATGGCTGCTTGCACCAAAAAATAGTTGAAATCCTTCAAACAAGCTAGATCTACAGATCTTTACCCATGACATTTTCTTTCCCTGTGCCCCCTAAAAGGCTCCTACTCATCTTTCAAAACCTACCTCAGACAGATTCTGCTTTGTTAGAGTCTTCCTAACCAACATCCTTAAACAGATACAATGGCTTCATCCTCTGGGCACCTTCTAGTCTCTGCAGACAATTCTGTTGTCCTCTCTACCCTCCGGTAACACTGTCGGTCTCCACACAGTCCCTTACCAGATTGAGATCTTCTTAAGAGCACAGTCTAGTATTAGATCCATTATGTCCCTAGTCCTTAGCAGAATACTTTATGCATAGTGGGCATTGAGAAAGGTTGGAGGAGTCGATTTTGTAGCAGTGATATTGCTGGGTCCCCTGCATGTCCTTTCCCTGTGGCTCTTTGGTGAGCACTCCCATCTTCCTGGATTGTTAATAAAAGAGGGCCTAGCTGTGCCTCAGTCATCACTGCTGCATATTCAGACTGATCCATCAGGATTTTTGCTGACAAGGGGCCCCCAAAGGAGAGGCAGGACATGGACGAGATGGTCATGGCTACACTAAGCATATCAATTCATTCTACTTCCTGTCCCACCCTTCAGAGGGTCCTGCAATAGACAGGGAATTAGACAGATTCATGACCAAAGAATGGCTCTCTCTCTCTGGAAAGAACACAAGCCCAAGACCAATGGGTGTGAGGAGAACAGCAGCCAGATGCCCAAGTGAACCCTGAACACCTTAGCCACCAATGACATGACAAATGTCCCTCTATGGGCAGCACACACAGCATGCAAGACTCCAAAGAGATGACAAGAGCTTTTTTCTGGGGCAAAGAGGGTCAGAGCAGATGGCTTCCTGCTTTGAGCAATGGGGGATTTTTTAATGAGCACTAAGGAGGAGCTAATAGGAGAAGGCCTGTAATACTTGTTCATGTCACCTGATGAGAGAGATCTTGAATATGTGCATCTATAAATTCCATTAGCTCATTATCATCACTCAGATCCATGTTCCCTGTCTGCTTGGTCATGAATTATGTCAAGAACAAAACCTTAAAGGTTCCTAAAAATCAAAGAAATGAGACATTTAAGCTGTGTATAAACACTTCCTTCTCCCTATCCTTTCTCACTTTCAGCCCTTCTGTAGAAAGTGATACCCACTGCCAATTCTTAAGTCCCTCTGGCCAGAAATTCTCCAGAGTTGCATAAAACTGGACTGAGTAGGTGCATATCTCATTGATAAAATGCAGAAAGTCCCAACTATCTCACCCACTTCCTTTTATTTACTTGAAAGTTTGTCATGTGGCCTGAAATTTCTACCCTCATAGTGTGTCATCTTTGGGTTAAGGTTTTCTCCAGGAGGCACCTGTTAAATTCCATAGCTGCTCCTGGAAAGTGTACCATATGAATACATTTACCCATTTGTGCATTGATTCAAGGCCAAGTGCATGAACGTTCTTTGTAGTTATCTCACCAGGCTGTGGGCTACAAGCCATACAGTCCCATCCTTGAGAGCAGCCTCCACTGGATGGAGAGAGACAAATAACTGTATTCAGAATGTGGCATACACCTGGAATCTCTGGGAAAAAAGAGCGCTACAGACAGACAAGTAAGAAGAAGGGGCTGCAAGCTTGAATATTTACAAAGGACAAACATGTGAGGTTGGAAGATAATCCAGAGGAAAAGCTGAATTAACATCTCTACTTCAATGTACAGTTTAAGAAGTTGTTTCATGTCTCTCTTAATTGACTCTCATGACAACCCTGTGAGATAAGCAGTGTTGTGTTATTTGCATTCCCATTTTACAGATGTGGAAACAAAAGCTCAGGATGGAGAACAGAAAGTCTTCCCAAGCAATTAACCTATGAATCCGGGGCACAGAGCCAGATCTTGTCATTCCAAATTGTGCAAGCGGCATGCTGGCTTTGATTCTAAGGGCCTCCTAAAATAACTTGGCACATTATCAGCCTCATTTGGGATGACCTTTCCTTCTACTCTGCCTGGCACATTTCCACTGTAGTTGCAAAAACAGTACAGAACAGTTTGTGACCCAAAAAGTGACACACACATCCTTGTATCCATTACTGAATTATGTGTTCATTGAACTGATCTCAGCAGGAAAGGGATGTTGCAAACAATTCTGACATATCACAATCAGAATCTTTTAGGTTTCCATTCCTGGAAAGTAAAAGGCAATGAAACCAATGAATGAAAGAGGAATTAGAGGATGGTACGCAATTTTCAGAAGACCACGTGGAAGGGAATGAATAAAACAGGAAGTGTAAAATGAAGCAAAAAATAAGCATCTCAGAATATGTTGAAAAGGAGGGCAAAGCCTTTACAGTCTAACCTAATGGTTCATGTAGCCTCCTAAGGTACTTCTGACACTAGGCTCGCCTCATCTAGGAAATCCTCTACTAGGCTGCCAACAGAGCCTTGTAAAACATGGATCTTGTAACATGTCTCTCTTGCTTAAGTCCACCAACAGTTCCCATTATCCACAAGATAAAATTTAACTGCCTCAGGGTACCAACGCAGGACACTTGCTCATATGGCCATGACTGGCTTCTTCATCTTCTCTTGGTCCACTTGCCACATGTGCATGTTTTAAGCAAATGGTAAGATTTGCCAGTCCCAAAGCTTTCAATTCTTGCAGAGAAACAAAGAGTGACTCTCAGCCCAGGATGCTCATTAAAATCCATGTGCATGGGGGGAGCTTTTAAAAATATGAACACCTGGGTGCACCAAAGTATCTGAAAGTAGAAGAAAGGATCAGTACTAAAAACAAAACAACATCATCAAAATAAACACTTTCTCCTCCAAGACATGCTAACATGCTGCCAGGGATGAGAATTGCTGATGGAGATGTGATACACAGAGCATGGGTTTTCTCCTTCAGAATAAGAACTTTGTCCTCTTGATTCCAAATCCCTGGCCCAGCATACTGCCTGGCACATCACAGACACTTTGTTGTGATTGTTGGAAGAATGGAAGACTGGCTGAATGAATCAAACAGTTGAAGGTTAATGAGTCAGGAAGATAGCAAGGGACAACCCGGAAATTGCAAATAAGAAAGAACAGCAAGTGAGACAGTAAGTATCTCCTAAGCTGGTAATCAGCCAGTAAGCTGGTAATCAGGGAGATAAATTTGGGCAGCAATCAAGTAATGAGAACAATGACCAAGAAGGATCTGAATGATCACCTGAAGCAGCCATCCAAGTCATGTAAAATAATGCAAACACCATTAGGGAAGTGGTTTATTTAAGTGTG